AAGAAAAAAGAAAAAGAAAAAAGAAAAAAGAAAAAAAAGAAAAGAAAAGAAAAGAAATGAACACATGTGACCTGTTAACTTACATGAACAATAGCCCCCAGCATTCCAGGAAGTTATCTGTCCTTGGGCAAGCAAGGCTTTCAGGTTAACTTTAGCTCTTTTTTTTTTTTTTTGTGTGTGTGTGTGTGTGTGTGTGTATGTGTGTGGGGGGGTGGTTTCGAGATAGGGTTTCTCTGTGACTTTGGAGCCTGTCCTGGAACTCGCTTTGTAGACCAGGCTGGCCTCCAACTCACAGAGATCTGCCTGCCTCTGCCTCCTGAGTGCTGGGATTAAAGACATGTTCCACCATTGCCCGGCAACTTTAGCTTTTTAATTAGAGGCAGGAGGATCAGAAGTTCAGGGTAAACTCCCTTTGGGTACTTATCAAATGCAAAGCCAGCCTGGGCAACCTGAGACCCTATGTCAAAAAACAAACGAAAGGCCTCCACTTTGTTAGTATCTACAGCCTTGTGGTTTACAGCTAGCTGTCTTGCTAACATTCAATATGCTGCTGTAACCAACAGAAAGACTGATTTCTGGGTAATGCCCCAAATCTAGATCACATCTGTTACCAGAGCCTACTGCCATGCCCATGATTTCCTTTGGTGTCTGCAGTTAAACCTGAACCATCAAAAAGGACCCCCACAGGTCTTGTTTTCATTTGTTTTGAGGTCACATCAAGGTGACTTTCCTGCTCATCCCAAAGCACAACCCAGACAAGATGAGCAAGACCCACCCCACACAGGCCTGGAGGCCCAGCACTATGTATTTTAAAGACTATTTTTTGTTTCAGTTGGCATATCATAATTGCATGTGTCCGTGGAGTACATTTTTGATGAGTTTTACAGATTCCTTGGTATGTCCCAAACAGAAAGCATTTATCACTTTCTTGTGTGGGGGCTCTCAGTGTCCTCTGTGCAAGCTATCTGGAGATTTGGGTTTCATTCTTGGGAACCTGTAGTCGGAAGGTTCTCCAGTCCCACCCGGCCCTGCAGTCCTACAGCTGCTTATAAAATAATCACTCAGAGGCTTATTATTTACAAACTGTATGGTCTATGACAGGCCTCTTGCTAGCTAGCACTCTATTAATCTATGTTTTGTCTCGTGTTGCGTGGCTTACCAGTTTGCTGGCATGTTGTTCCTTGGACAGCAGGCTGGTATCTCCCCTGCCTCTCCATTTCTTTCCTGTCTCTCTCTTCAACTTCCTGCCTGGCTATAACCTGACTCGCCATAGGCCAGAGCAGCTTCTTTATTAACCAGTCATTGCAACACATATTCACAGCTTAAAAAAGACATCACATCCCACAGCAGGAACCAGATAGTGCTGAGCATCATTGAACAGCGAAGCATCCTTTGGCTCTAGAGTTCTAGATTTGCGCCTTGTGTCTCTCTTAGGACGACACTGAGGTTCCCTTCACAGAAGAGGATTACCGGAGAAGAAAGCATCACCCTAACTTCCTGGACCACATCAATGCTGAAAAGATGGTTCTCAAATTTGGAAAAACTGTAAGTCTGGACACATAGAACACTGTGGGGTAGGAAGGGTTCTTTGTGAGGGGGTGTACCTGGGCAACTTTCTCCTCTGCATACTCAGCCCTCATTCCTTTCCAGGCCTGTTTTGCATGGCCAGAACACCTCACAACGCTGTAAACACAGTGGTTTAGTTCCTCATACATCCCCACAGGTCTCACCTTCTGGTTCAGCAATGCATTCCATCCTTAGAGATTCTCTGGCCCAGCTTGAGATTCAGCCCACTGACCTGAAGGCCCTGGGGTGGGCCCCCAGCTAAACTCAGACTCTCTCCCACCAAGGGATCTGGGCAAATAACTCATTTGGAATTGGAAGAAAGGGATCACACATTTTTGGTTCCTAGAATCTGTCCCAATGTTTTTCTTCAAATAGCCCTGAAAAATGCAATGTTAACCCCTCTTAAAAATAAAGAAACGGGGGGGGGGGGCTGGGGGCTGGGGATTTAGCTCAGGGGTAGAGTGCTTACCTAGCAAGCGCAAGACCCTGGGTTCAGTCCTCAGCTCCAGAAAAGAAAAAAAAGAAAAGAAAAGAAAGAGACGGGGTTGTGGATTTAGCTCAGTGGTAGAATGCTTGCCTACCATGTACAAGGCCCTGGGTTCGGTCCTCAGCTCCAAAAAAATAAATAAATAAAAAATAAAGAGACAAGCTGGGCGGTGGTGGCGGCGCACAGCTTTAATCCCAGCACTGGGGAGGCAGAGGCAGGTGGATCTCTGTGAGTTCGAGGCCAACCTGGTTTACAGAGTGAGTTCCAGGACAGCCAGGGCTACATAGTGAGACTCTCATGTGTCCTCTTTAGAATTCTGTGAGGCGGATGCTGCTGTTATCATCCCCATTTAATTTACACGGATTCCCAAACCCAAGGTTCCAAAGAGATGAGCGATGACAGCTCTGAAGCGCCACCTTGTGGTGGTATAAGATAAAACAACCAAGGATTTCCAACGTCCAGTTCTGTCCCTGAAGAATCCCATTGATTTGAGGAATGTGGAATAAACACCATGAGCATGAGGTAGTTAGAAAAACAACAAGCTGGGTGGTGGTGGCACATGCCTTAATCCCAGCACACAGGAGGCAGAGTCAGGCGGATCTCTATGAGTTTGAGGCCAGCCTGGTCTCCAAAG